CCATTTCACTAATCAATATTTTCCAAGGATCCCAATTGAGACAGAGTCCTTATTACTTCGGCTTTTTGATTATCATTCAATTTCTCAATTATTGCAACTACTGCATCAAGAGCTACATCTGGACAGTCCTGAAAACAAGTAATAACACTATTATGAAGAAATAGAGACTTCACAAATATTTCTAGATTGGAAGTTTTGTTCGTTCATTTACCAAATGAGTGTAGATAAACCCTACCTCCAAAGAACACTTGATCTGATTGATGACTGCGTCCTTCTTCACAGCGTGGATGTTGTGGCTTATCATCGACCTGTCAGCTGGTCTGGAAAGTTGTTCTTCAAGCCATTCTACAACCACTTCGTTCTTGTCCCACTTGTATCCCTTCAATACAAAAATGACTTTGAAGAAGATGAATGCAAAGTAAAAAAATGTACTTTAGATTCAAATATGGGGTTTTGAAAAGTAAAAAAATGTACATTTCACAGTTCTCCATTATCATAGAACAAACATCAACTTCACATGCACTAGATATAGATGACCAAAATACTAAATCAATTTAAAGTTTTTTCAATAACAATTGTATTAGTACAGAAAAAGCTACTTGGCTTTCTACGTCTCCATCTTGATAAAAAAAATGTAGGAATCGTATGACGTTGATTTGCGACATTTTGTTTCAAAGATGTGCCCCGAAGTGGTCGACCTACAGTTATCCAGGAAGAGGATTTAGAGGACCCTGGTGAAGACTGACCCATTAACAATGATGCGTGGGAAGGCTGAAGAACTGGGCGTCAGCATGCGGTTTTTGATGGTTCAAAACATACTGGAAAGGTTGAAAAGTAGGTGCCCCACGATCTGAACGATTGACAGAAATTGTCACTATTCGAGGTCCGTTCTTCTTTGCTTTTGCGCAACCAACAAGATCCTTTATTTTTTGGATTGGATCGTCATATGAGACGTTCAGGACAGTGGTTAGACATCGATGAGCCACCTAGGCACTTCCCAAAGGTGAAAACCCACCAAATAAGACCATGCTTATAGCGGTCAGCAGGATCCTATTGTGAGGAAATCGACAAAATTCACCTAAAATTGCACCAGCAGCAGCCGCACTGGTGAACCTGTTCCACGAAAATTAAACGAATTGAGCTTCAAAGTTCTGCCTCAGCCACCATACTCCCCCAACCTCTCGCCAACCAACTACCATAATTTCAAGCACTTCGATAACTTTCTCACAGGTAGAATTTTCGTCAATTATGACCATGCAAAAACGGCCTTCGTCGACTTCATCGAATCCCGAGCATATACTTATGCTACGTTGGCAAAAGTGCACTGATTCTAATGTCGCTTGTGTCGAATAATTTGAATGAGTATCCACTGAGATATTACAGTTTGAAGTGGACTAATAAAATCGGTGAGATTATTCACAATTAGTTCTAAATCGAAACCGAGGCTATTTTCTATTCAGCGATTGACATGTCTGAGGGGGTGTAAATGAAATGTCTTATTATGTCAAATGACAATAAGGTCTGAACTTTGCTTAATTCCCCATTATCAATATCATTTTTTAAGTATTTAAATAATTTTTTAAAGAAAATTATTGAAATGACAAGTTTAAAATGCGTTGTTTTAGAGCTCTTTTATGAAAACTACTTGATTTTCGTCAGGAGGAACATTCCCCATTGAGGAGATAAAAACCCAATCACGCAGAGAGCTCATACCATACCAAAAATTGCATATCAGAACTGATTTGAGGATTGGAAAAAACGTTGGCACATGTGTATTATATCTGAGGTGGATCTTTAAAGAGGACAAAATAGAAATTGATGAATAAATCAATAGTTTTTTTTTGAGGAAAATGAAAATTCGACTAATTTTTTTAACAGACCTCATAAGCATATGAAGTGCCGTGTTTTCTACAAACGTGAAACAAATGGATAAGCCAGACGGCTTCCAGATAGCAGACACCTGAAAGAAAACAGTTACTATACCTTATTTGAATGAACTTAATATGAGTTAGATGTTCCTTTTATCAAAATGACAGCAACAGAAATGAAAATGAAAAATCTTCGAAAGTTAAGAAAACATTCAGAGACTAACTTACGTGTATTGTTCCTTTTTCTAACATCCTCTCAGGAGTATCGTGCAAGTCAGCAAAGTTGAGAGCAACCTGATGATACATTGGTAGCAAGAAGTTTTCTCTTTCCTGTATTTTCTTTTCGATTGCTGCTATTTCTGGCGGTTTCGGTCTTTCGACCATCTGAGTGATGCTTGCGGACCTTTCTCTGGGCTGCTGCTGTTGGTTGATTTGTTTCAGTTGTTCATCTAGATCCATAACGACTGGATCGATACGGTGAATTGTTTTGATAAGATCTTTTTTTCTGAATTTTATTTCTACTATGCCTTCAGGTTCTAAAACACCACCCCTAAAATATTTAAAATAATCTTTTATATCCTACCGAATAGTCATTAATCTGTATGATTATTTTTACCGTTGTTTTATCAAATTTTCAATCAATAAAACTCTGAAAATTCTTACAGAATCATGTCCCCAAATTTTTATAACAATAATTAATTTCGAAATATTATTGTATTATCCTTATTATCCCAAGAAACATGAAATGTTTATGAATATGGATTAACTAAATCAACTAAAGATATAAATTCAATAGAATAATGAAATATTGAACAAGAAAACACAAGTAATTGCTATGAACATCAAGTTTGTTAATAGGTATTGAAAACTAAAATATTTTTTTTATTAATAATTGAAAAAGACAACACGAGTAGAATAATCAATACCGTCAGTCAAATGTGAAATTATCCGGATTTAAAATAAAAATATTTAGATGATTCTGGCTTTATGAAAATCATATGATTCTGATTTTTAATCTAATTCATTAAACACTTTTTCTATTGCTTCTTGAATTTGAGAGCAGTTTTAGATTTTTTTATTTCTTCAGGAATTGTAATATACAGAGCGGTCCAACGAAAAGTATGCACCTTGCTTTTCTTCTTTTTTTGTAACTTAATGCAAAAATGCTCGGGCAGGTCAATTTTGCTTTTGAAGGGAACACATTTTAGATGTATTTTTCTACCTGTGCCTTCAACCCCCTAACGAGGGTGAGTAACAACCCTAAAATTTTAAATGGAAAGTGGGGTCGAGTGATATATCATTTGAAAGGGCACAAAATTGTCTTTCCAATGATACCTAATTTGTTGTATTCCACTCAAACATGTAGGTATTATGAAGAAAAACAACTACAACCCAGTACTTTGAAATGTGTAATTGACTTAGTAGAATCCTNAAATTTTTTTGTTTATATAGAGTGTTCAAATCTAATAAACTTTTTGATTTATACAAATTCAATGTTGGTTCTGAATACGACAATTTATATATGCATTGAATGATTTCATTTTGTAAAGAATTCAGAGGTTTCGTTGTGGATTTATCGGCTGATCCTTAAATAGAAATAAGATAATGCAGTTATGAGTATATAAGACTGAAATGAATATTTTTCAAAAATATAAGAGGAATATAGAATACCGCCAATGAACGGTTGCTCCTTTTTTTGAATAATTTCAATATGTTCTGTCCACGATAAATTTTAATCAATATGTAATCCTTGGAATTTATTAGAATTATTATCAATAATTATACAATAATTGGTAAAACTGTTCAATAATCTTTCTCTTAGAAATATTCATATACGAAGCTTATTGGAAATTTAGAGTCAGTTTATGTTCCTGTAGCCAACTTGAAATTGTTTTTATGTCTGTTTTTATATCATTAGAATTTTTGTCAAAGTTATCCAAAGAGTATACAATTGTTGAGTAATCAGCAAATAATTTAACTGATCCCTTCAAAGATAAATTTGTTATTAAGTAAATGTATATTGAAAAAAGGGGTGGACCAAGAATAGATCCTTGCGGCACCCCAAAATTTATTCTTCTAATGAAACTCTTTTGATTTTCTATGCAAATGTATTTGTATATCACTCACATAATCACAAACCAAGTAAGGATATTCCCTCTAATGCCAAAGTTGTTTAGTTCTGATGTACAGTATCAAATGCTTTACACAAATCTAAAGAGAAAAGGCAAGCAACATTTTTCATTATTGTCAATTTCAGTTTGAATTTTTAAAATGACATCCATTGCTGCTGCCTTTGTATCCTTAGACCTGTGAAAACTATTCACCACATAAAATATTGTTTTCCACATAATTGGTTAATCTTTTATGCGTCAGTCATTCAAAAATTTTGGAAAAACTGATAATACCAAAATATTGGGCGGTAGTTGAGAGGATCATCTTTTTTGTCATTTTTATAAAAGATTTCCAAAAAATGAAGAATAAAATTGGTGAGATATCAGTCTTGACTGCTTTAACAATATTTATATCAATATCATCATACCCAGAAGGTTTGCTTTGATAAATATTCTATTATTTCTTCAATTTCAGTTAAACTTGATGGCCTAAAAAACATAGATGAAACAGTTGAATATTTTTAGGTCTTTGGCCTAAAAATATACCCTTTCAATTTTTTAGGTCGTCTTGAAATATTTGGAATGGCAGAAGATAATTTTTTTCAAATCGCAACAAAATGATCATTCATTATTTCGCAAATTTCAGATAAACCGTCAGTTTTATGATTATTCAAACTTATGTTATTTTTATTCTTATTATCATTCATATAACTTCTGTTGTCTAACAGTGATTTCATACGTTTCCACATTATTTTTGGAGTAGTATTTGTGAAATGTGAATTCAAAATGATATACTTTATATATTACTAGTACTATGTTGCTGTATCGCTGCTGTTCCATTGTTTTGACAGAATCAGAATCAACGAACTTAGTCGTGCGCAGCGTTATAGAACAGTGCTTTCAAAAAAATTGTTCTACAGCGCCATCTAGTGACGAGTTACAGAAAATTTCATAGCCTAAAAACCTTCTCTATGAAAAATTACTTATCATGTCAAGAGATTTTTTTTAAAAAGGATGCTTACAGAAGAGTTTCAAATAATATTAATATCTAGGTGACTGACCTTTCATTCCCCCACTGAATCCTCTCCAGTTGGCAAAAATTATCAAAGGCAGATCTTCTCTAGAGAAATCCTGAATTGCCTGGGCAGTTTTATAGGAAGAATCGGGAAACCATACCTGTCCAGCTTGGGAAATGGTCTAAAAATATAAAGGACTTTTAAAACAGTTTTACTGAGAGGCAATGAAAAAATCAAAATCAAAATGTTCTTTATTGACTATTCTCCATACAATTTTAAGGTATTTTTTTTGTGGTGTTTATAAAATATATACAAAAAAAATTTATACAAATATACAAAATGTACACAAGGGTTTCCCCTATGGAGTGGGAAGGATTGGGATGGGTAGTGAATGGGGTAGAGGGAGTGGCAGGAAAAGACCCCGATACATTTGCGCTCTCAAGAATTCCGCCTCCAGAGCAGGCGCATTATCGTGATACAAAAGCCATGAATTGTTTTTTCACTATACCGTGTTATATTTTACTATGATATTACTCTAGTGAAGATGACAGTGGAACATTTTACCTTAGCCTCAGAATCAAAATTGGCTGGATCAGCTGGTAACGTCAGTTCAACAGCCCGGGTTTCCACTGCTATCACTCCAACAGGAATACCTCCTAATCTGGCTCTTCCTGTCACAACAGTCTGTGCCCACGGTCGCATAATTTCAGACCATGAACCTTTGTCGAAGAAACCGCTTTCCCAAATAGACGGATCATCTTCAATTAATAAAATAAATTAGCTATTCAATTTCAATAAATACTTGTATATGAATATTTTCCTTAGAGAGCCCATACACGGGTCACATTTTGCGGTCGGATCGACCACACAATTTCAGTCACGTTCCAGCGAACTCAAGCCGCCCATAAGAAATACTGTACTACACGTAGACGGGCGTCCACAAAAGTCAAAACGGGCGTCTGCAGTCAACTTGTTGCTGATCTCCACCGAGATGTCATCGCGACATCCGTCGTACACTAACCACAAACTTGCAGTCGTGCCCAACCGCGTAGAAGTGGATGTACCCAAAACGATCGTACCTTCCTATGTCTTCTTCTTCTCCTCAAAGTAAGAAGTAGTAGTGCTTCTTTTTCGAAATCCATATTGAAACTGGCACTAAACTCTGACACCACAAAATATAGATGTCAGTTGCCTCAACTGCAAGTGCGATTTATNCATGCACTAGATATAGATGACCAAAATACTAAATCAATTTAAAGTTTTTTCAATAACAATTGTATTAGTACAGAAAAAGCTACTTGGCTTTCTACGTCTCCATCTTGATAAAAAAAATGTAGGAATCGTATGACGTTGATTTGCGACATTTTGTTTCAAAGATGTGCCCCGAAGTGGTCGACCTACAGTTATCCAGGAAGAGGATTTAGAGGACCCTGGTGAAGACTGACCCATTAACAATGATGCGTGGGAAGGCTGAAGAACTGGGCGTCAGCATGCGGTTTTTGATGGTTCAAAACATACTGGAAAGGTTGAAAAGTAGGTGCCCCACGATCTGAACGATTGACAGAAATTGTCACTATTCGAGGTCTGTTCTTCTTTGCTTTTGCGCAACCAACAAGATCCTTTATTTTTTGGATTGGATCGTCATATGAGACGTTCAGGACAGTGGTTAGACATCGATGAGCCACCTAGGCACTTCCCAAAGGTGAAAACCCACCAAATAAGACCATGCTTATAGCGGTCAGCAGGATCCTATTGTGAGGAAATCGACAAAATTCACCTAAAATTGCACCAGCAGCAGCCGCACTGGTGAACCTGTTCCACGAAAATTAAACGAATTGAGCTTCAAAGTTCTGCCTCAGCCACCATACTCCCCCAACCTCTCGCCAACCAACTACCATAATTTCAAGCACTTCGATAACTTTCTCACAGGTAGAATTTTCGTCAATTATGACCATGCAAAAACGGCCTTTGTCGACTTCATCGAATCCCGAGCATATACTTATGCTACGTTGGCAAAAGTGCACTGATTCTAATGTCGCTTGTTTCGAATAATTTGAATGAGTATCCACTGAGATATTACAATTTAAAGTGGACTAATAAAATCGGTGAGATTATTCACAATTAGTTCTAAATCGAAACCGAGGCTATTTTCTATTCAGCGATTGACATGTCTGAGGGAGTGTAAATGAAATGTCTTATTATGTCAAATGACAATAAGGTCTGAACTTTGCTTAATTCCCCATTATCAATATCAAGTCATCCTCTAATTCAATCATCTTCATTTATATTGTGGAAACTTTGGAAACTTTAACTAATCTACTGACCAAGTATGTTATTTCTTTTGTTACTTCAGAAACAAATTTGAGACTCACTTCTGAAGCTCCTTTGTCCTCGATGAACCACCTCCTGAGCATAGCTTCTCCTTGACCAAGGGCTAGTTCTGGTTGAGCTTCCATTAGTAATTTGATAACCCTATCTTCGAGTAGTCGCCTCCTCAATCTCCAATATAATATTGTTCTTGACCTTCGCCATGGCACAATATCCTGAAATCAATTAGCATTTTGTTTTTTGTCCAAAAGAAAAGTTTGTTGATTATTAAACAAAGTAGTAACTTTCAAACAAGAAATATGCACAATTGAACAAATCACTTTCTTTGAGATATCCTGAGATATTATTCAGCACGACAAAAAACTGAAATTTCCGAATGTGTGAAGGAACGTTCTTACACCACATGACAGCGAAATATATCTTAGACATAAACCACGGACGAGTCAAAAAATGAACATGGAAGAAGAATGAAATCTGCGTGGGAAAACTTTTACGTTCCAGTAATCATACTTCAGCCAGCGTATTCACCAGATTTGCTCCCCTGTGACTTTTTCCTATTCGCAAGGCTGAAAACCCATGAAAGGACGGCGTTTTGCGGCAATGGGAAATGTTCCTCAATTTGGGTTATTACAGCAAATGCAAGTTTGAACAAAATAAAGTTGAGTTTAATTCATGAGTTTTTCAAATTCACCTTGAAAAGTATTCAAATTGATGTTTCAAATGTTGGGTTTTAATTTTTAAAGGGATTTGTTTCTAATTCACATATTGGCAACAGTGCCTAGAATAATTTATACGTACCTAGATATTTCACTTAAAAAAAATAAAAATTATCTTCATAAATCAACAGTTATGGCAAAATATAAATTATAGTTCAATACCACCTAAACAAGCCACATAAACAACAGTTATTTTGTTATTTATTCATATAGAGGAAGATAGGTTAAGTGCACAAAATGTCATATGTCACAGAATGACTCTGAACATAAGTAAACAGAACAGCACGCCTCTGAAATATGTCATCTTTGTTTGTCTCATACAGGTAACAGATTCATTGTCCTTTATTAGCTATAACCGATGTTGCCAAATGATGAAATAGAAACGAATCCCTTTAAATGTTGAATGAGGAAAAATACACAGATTTACTAGCAGTGATGTTGGTGAAATCACAAGTGGTTCTCTTTATAAAGCCAAGCATCTTTATAAATTTTTGAATTACAGCGGAAATGTGTGATTTATAGCTAAATGTGGAGTCTAGGATCACACCTGGATCTTTGGTTTCAATAGCAGAATGTAAGGTCCGATTATTTATACTATATTCGAAAGTGATTGGGTGACGTGTTTGATGAAAGCGAAGAATTTGGCATTTGGATGCATTCAAACACATACCATTTTGCAAACACCAGTTAGATAGGCAATCTATATCGTTTTGTAGACACAATGTATCGGCTTCACTTTTAATTATTTTAAAACATTTTATATCTTTGGCAAATAGCAAACCTTCGCTTTCATGGGAACAGCTGACTAGATCGTTGATAAAAGGGTTAAACAACGGTGGTCCCAAATGTGACCCTTGGGGAACACCCGATGTAACTGCGATGGTATGAGAATAGTATGATTAACTCTAACAATTTGCGTTATTTCCATAAGATAGCTCTTGAGCCACTGCAATATTTGCCCATCAACACAATATAAACAGAGTTTATGAATCAATAGCTCGTGATTAACTTTGTCAAAAACTTTGTAGAAATCAGTGTACACAGAGTAGTTAATCAGACCCAGTTCAGCTGACTTTTTGGATGTAAATCCGAATTTTTTGGTCCCTATAGATGGGGAGCAGTCATAAGTAGGGTAATCAAAAATGATGCTCTCAAAACGTTTACGGATTGCGCTAAAAATAGAAATTGAACAGTAATTACACACGTCGGATTTTCGACCTGATTTACATATTGGGGTGACATTGTCATGTCATGTACGTATGTATCTCTCTTCAATAAAGTCTTCAGACACGGTTTGGTCTGTTAAAATGATAAGCAAGTACTAACTTGGCGATGGCCTTCCTTCCAACATCCATCTGGGGTCATATGGTGTCTTTGTAGGTGTAAATGTGACTTCCCTATCTATGGAATCGGCAGATTTTATTATTGGAATAGGAGACATCTTGTCCTACAAAAAATTTAAAATTTTTAGCTCGGAAACTAATGTATGGCTTTAAATTCTTACCTTGGACATATAAGAGAGCCATTTGAGAATGGTGTAAATACCCTCCGAGTCAGTTTGGTCCGTCTTGTGGGTAACACCATTGTTGTACATAATCTGGATGCCACCAAGTTGGTTGTTGGAGGCATAAACTTCTCTAGCAAGTAACTGAAATTTCGAAACAAATAAATTTGAGATATTTCATGAATCATTATAAAAATACGGTTTTCTATTGAGTTACCTTGTTCAAAGCACTGTATCCAGTTAGAATTATATGTGAATTTTCAATTTGTATAACTCGCTGGCCGAGTCGCACTAGATATGAACCAATGCCAATAGCTCGGCAAGTAACCATGGAAATTGTTACGATCTCATTGTATGCTATTGATGTTTCGCCGGCTATCATTCCAGCATACTTCAGATTTTCAACTCCCAGACCGTCTTCTTTGCCTAAAAAGGAAAAGTGTTTGGTAGAATAATAGAGACTTGAAAAAATGTATAATACAACCCACCAATAATATCAGTCAGTTTATATCGCGATTCTCCTTCATCTTCTATCAAAACTGCTCTAACAGAATTCTGAGCACTCACTTTGGCGTAATCTTCAGGGGTGAGATAAAGGTATCTATGAAAAAATTGTTGAAATTGAATGAGTAATTGCAAAACAAATAAGGTTTTTTCAGTCAGGTTCGCCTGCATTTGTCGTTTTTAAAGATGTTGGCCATTGTTCATTTCGAGTGAATTCCCAAAGTTTCTTCGATTTGAGTAATTGACATCTCGAAGAAAATGATGGAAATAACCGACGGTCAACAATTTCGAAAAATGACAAATAAAATTTCAAAACAAGTTTACCTGAAGCCTCTATCCGGTTCCTTGTTGTCTTCCCACGCTACTTTGAAGATTCCTTTTATTTCTTCGGCCAAACCTATCTTGGCACCACTGTTAGCAGATAAATAAATTCTTGGTATTTTCAACATCCTTGCCATTTCACTGGCCAAATAAAACACCTGAAAAGTAAATCCGTGTTTATATCATGTCAGTAGCATGGCGAGTATCCCGACCATGAATGCTCAGGTTTATTACGTACAAGTCAAGGTTCCTATGCACAAAAACCATACATTTCATTATACATCTCAGACGAGCCACCCCTTATCCCATAGTGAGTGGAAAAATTTCCCGAAACACGTCGAATGATTTTGTTTGGGGGACATCTTTTGATGTATATTTTAGGCTTGAACGAGCAACCCCCTAATAGGGGGCTCTTCAACCCCTCAAACTTGAATAGGGGAGAGTGATACATTATTTGAAAGGTCTTGGAACGTAACGTTAATACACTGTTTTCGCCAAAAATCAATTTGCAGCTCGAATGAGCCACCTTGAATAATTTGGTTATTTTTACATGTACACGCCCATTTTTATTAAGCCCTTTTCACAAACTTGAACAATCTTCAAAAAAATCACATTCTTGAAAAAATTTAATTGTTTTATCATCATGCTTACAATAAAGAAAAAATCAAATCTGCGTGTTTAAATAAAATGTTCAAATAGTCCTCCATTGACTTCCATACAATAATACAATCTTGACTGAAAACCGTCTCTGACATGGTTCATCATAATTGGAGTTATTTGACGACAAATTCTTCCATATTTTCAGGGTGAGTCACAAAAATCTTGGACTTGAGATATCCCCACAAGAAGAATTCCAGAGGTTTCAGGTCAGGAGATCGGGCAGGCCACTCCATAGGACCTCTTCTTCCAATCCAACGACCGGGGTATTGCAAATTGAGGTATTGGCGAACTGGTGCGGCGTAGTGCGGAGGAGCTTCATCTTGTTGAAAATGCAATTGTTATTCAAGTAGAAATTGTTCAGTTATTAACGCATCAATCGCATTTTCCAGCATTTCAAGTTAACGTTCGCCAGTAAAATTACCAGGAATAAACAGAGATCCAATTAGGTGGTCTCCCGAAATTCCTACCCAAACGTTTAGCTTTTCTGGATGTTGAGTGTGAGCTTCTCGAAATACACGAGGATTTGTATCGCTCCAAATTTTACAGTTATGCCGGTTAACCTCTCCATTCAGTAAAAAAGTGCATTCGTCAGAAAAGCAAACGTTGTACAAGAAATTTGGGTTACTGTTGATACGCTCGGCCATAATTTCGCAAAACTCTTGCCTTCGATCCCAATCATCATTATTAATTAATGAAATTATTTAATTTTGTACGGATGGAACTTGTGTCTATGTAAAATTCTGAAAACTTTAGATTGACTAATACTGGAAACTGCAGAAAGTTGTCGTACAGATTGCGTGTTTGGCATAAGTTGGACATGTCCCAATACCGCCACAGCTGCTTCTTCATCCTTCACAATTCTAATGGGTGCCCTTTTTTTATCCATTACTGAACCCGTCTCCACAAATTTTGAAATCAATTTCAGTACGTACTTATGGCGAACGCTACGTTCAGGATGGTTTTGGTTAAATATCCAATTTTGTTTTTGGTAATAAAGTCTAACCAGCTCAACACGTTCTTGCAATGTGTACACGATATTTTTTTAATTTTAAAACGAATCAGCAAAGTAGTAACTCAACAGATTGTTTTTTTGTATGAAAGTCAACGGAGGACAATTTAAACGGATTTAAACAAGCAGATTTGATTTTTTTGATTGTAAGTATGATGATAAAATAATTCAATTTTTTCAAAAATGCGATTTTTTGAAGAATGTTTAAGTTTGTAAAAAGGGCTTAGTAAAAATTGGCTTGTACATGTAAAAATAATCAAATTATTAAAGATGGCTCATTCGAGCTGCAAAATAGATTTTTGACGGAAACGGTTCATCAAATTTTCGTTTTTCATACACCGTTGTAAAGAGGCTTCCAAGACTTTTCAAATAAAGTATCACTCAACTCCTCTCCTCTATTCAAGTTTGAGGGGTTGAAGAACCCCTCATTAGAGGGTTGCTCGTTCAAATCTGAAATATACGTCAAAAGATGTCCCCTAAACAAAATCATTCGACGTGTTTCGGGAAATTTTTCCACTCACTATGGGATAAGAAATATACGGGGTGGCTCGTCTGAGATGGAACACCCTGTATATTAGGTTGTTTCAAAAGTTTTATTGTGATGTGTTGTTTTGGCTCCGTACCTCAATAAATATGTATTCTACTGTGTTGTGGTATACAAGATCTATAGAGAATTTTATATTCTATATATTGATGCTGTTTATTTTTTTCCAAATTTTAATTTTTTGCTTTTTAGCTCATTATTATATGATGTCGTCGAGTGATTTTCGGCCAATTTTTCTCTACGAATTCAAACTATAGCAAACCACTGCCAAAGCCGCCCGAAAAATCAACCAGGCTGGCAATGATGGTTTTAATGAAGGAACTGTTCGACATTGGTTTGCAAAATTTCGTTCCGGAGATTTAAGTTTCGAAGATGAACCCCGAAGCGGTCAACCTTCAGTAATCCAGAACGAGAATTTGAGGACCTCGGTGGATACTGATCCATCACAAACAGTACGTGGGATGGCGGAAGAACTGGGCGTCAGCTTCCATGCGGTTTTTGATAGTTTAAAATATACTTGAAAGGTCAAAATGGTCAAAAAGCTTGAAAAGTGTGTGCCCCACGATTTGAAATATCGACAGAAATTATCACGTTCAGGGGTAAGGTCTTCTTTGCTTTTACGCAACCAATCAGAAGACGAGAGGATCTTCTACGACAACAGGAAACCTTTAGGACAATGGTTGGACACCGATGAACCACTCAGGCACTTCCTAAAAGCGAAAACCTACCAAAAATAGACCATGGTTACTGTATGGTGGTCAGCGGCTGGTGTGATTCACTATAACCTGTCCGCACGTTTCACAAATCACGAAAATCTCAAACAAATTGAACGTCGAAGTTCTGCCTCACCCACCATACTCACCAGACCTCTTGCCAACCGACTACCATCTTTTCAAGCACTTCGATAACTTTCTCGCCGGTACAACCTTCTCCAATCAGGACCAAGCAAAAACGGCCTTCACCGAGTTCATCGAATCCCGACCACACAATGTTTGTGCTGACGAAATTGATCGACTATTAGCAGCCAACTACCAGCTTGGACATTGCTTGGTAAGAACCAAGTACGTCCAGAGTCGCTTGACTATCTGAGAATATTTCTATTCATTTATGTATAGGGTTGGGTTCTCTTATTCTCTACACACATAAATCTAAATCAATGATGTATATGTCCGCTTGAAATTTGGTTGCATAGGTCTCTAGGCAGGTTGATATCTAAGCCCTGTGTCTGTATACACCTGCACCATTACGTGAAGGTGTTTTTGATCCATCAATAAACTAACAGCGATCCTCGCAAAGAATCCAGATCTCTCTCTTCGGTATTAGGACTGCATAAGGCAGGTCAAAGGCAGATTGTGGTTGACCACTGGAAGCATCAAGTCAAGAGATCATTCCCAGAATATTGTGACTTTCAGTGTCGGTCACTAGTCTGCTACACCCCATACAAGCCTCTCTTGTGCAATTGGCAATATGCATGATTCTGTCTGCTGTCCATCTAGGCTCAGTGGGCTACTGACAATGTGGTGAAAGGTTTGGAAGATAGCCAAGTCTTTGTCCACCAGAGAGCTTCCCCCGAGACATCTGCTGTAAAGCTTTCGACCACCAAGCAATTGCTCTGTACTTGATCGATGTTTTGACAATCACTCTTACACACACACACACACACACACACACACACACACATACCTCTTATGAAACATCAAATGTCTCCCATATCTAAAGATATTTTCTTATCTTCTACATGAAATTGACGTAACAGTTTCCCCAGACTTCTACAGAAATCAACAAGTGAGGTTAAGTTCAGAAAATGAGCCTTGAAGTGAGAACAATTTGAATTTGCCGCTGTGCGCGCGGTAGCTTCTGATTGGTCGACTGGATTATGACAAACGTGGAGGAGAGACGCGACTCATACTTTAGAATTACGTGATTTTCATTTCAAATTACGAATATAGAATATAGATAGTCCTGTATACTTTTGGGAAGGTGGAGCCCTTCCAACACTGGCTTCCACTAACACAGAATGGGCTTGTTTCATGATTTTTGGTTTAGAGTTCATTTAGTTGTAATTTCAAATTGAAAAATAGTGTACTTTGTTTCAGCTCTCTAAATACTGTTATTTTCCCGTAATTAATTATTAAAAATCGGATTTTCTAGGCCCGTGACGTCACGGGCCTAGTCCCGCTTCTTATTCGATTGACCAATAGGAACAATACAAATAATGAACATTCCCAAATTGTAAAATTCGCGGAGCGTATAAACAGTTTCTGATTCATTCGTGATTCAAAGTAAAAGCACACTCACTTCTAACAACTAAATCTAAGAAAGAAAGTGTTAGAAATGCATTGGATACATGGGATACAAATAACACAAAACGCAATAAAAACGTTATTTTTGAAATATTTCCGGCATTAGACATTTTCATGTTGATATCACAGAAATTTTAATAATGGAAGTGTATATGAACCCGTTAACGTTTAAATTCATGAAAAAATTCTCCATATGAAATAAAATGTACTCGAAAACCATGGTTCTAAATAGAATTTAACAAGCTATATTTTCAAATGGTTCTCGAAGGCTAACGAACCACAATAAAATAAATCAATTATGCATTCATGCCACCCACCAAAAATAAGAAATTCAACGTTATATATTAGCCATATTGCCACCCAGTCAGCTATCTCTCTTGACAATGTACTCTTTCTAATGTTCCATAACTTCGTATTTTTGTTAAAATAATTGACACTTATGGCAACACCGGTGTAGACACGATCAATTTTATTGGTCAACAGACACGCGGCCAATTTAAACTCTTGCTTCTCGAATTTTTTTTCTGCAAATATAAAGAGGTATTGTGACCGATTAGGCTCGATAAGTATAATATACGCCTAACTCGATAGGTCTATAAGCAAACCAGTATAATTTTCAATATGCTGACCTGTTCAGTGAAAAGGAATTATTATTGTGGATCTCTGTGACCAAAAACCTTTTCCTATGTTTTATAGACTCCTAAAATTTAGGATGACCTTAACCCTAATTTTTTGTCCCACCCCACACGATACGCTATGCCCTCTTGAAAATCAAACAGTAAAAAAACTTCGATTGTAAACTACATCGATATTGAAAATTAGAAAACTCTTTTCATACCTTATCTTCTCTAGGTCCGAATGATCCAATAACGTAAGTTATGTCATTCGCTATGACAATGATATTTCTTCCTTCGGGATATTCAGGAGTGTGCAGAGTCAACTTCCAAGCTATCATGCCAACATTATTCTCACCAGGGACTCGCTTTTGCTCTATCAAGCGTGTTTCAGTTTCAGGATCCAGGATCAACTCGACGAAATCCATCAGTTTATCAGGGATATTGATGGCTTCTGAAAATTCAAAGAACAAAGAAATATGAATATTTCCAACGAAGTTGAAAGACTCGTGGTCAATATTACCTGATAACCTTTCCTGGCTATATTGCTTCCATTGTAGATCCACCATTTGTCTGAACATGTCCGGGTAATCGTAGACATATGTGGTACCCACTGATTGAGCTTGAAATCTTTTTTGCTGCAAGTAATCTTTTGGAATATAAGGCGTGGAAATGGGCAGGCCATGGAGGGGACCCTGCTTGGTACCATAGGCTTGGAAGTTTATAATGCCCGTCTCAGGTTCGACGACTTCCGTGTACATATTGATGTCTAAATAATATCCGCTGTCGTTAGCTATGCACAAACGGATAGTAGTGGTTTGAGCGTTGGGCAGTGGGCGAATGATTAATTTGAGTTCGGCTTGTAGAACACGCAACTTCCAAAGCCGAGGCCCGTAGCGCATCACCAAGCTTGTTACTGCTTCTTCGATCTGAAAATTGATAGATAGTGGATGGATTATGGGATGAATAGTTATATAAACTCACTTTGGCGGGATCCATAATGACTGTTGGAATGAAATTGAGGAATATGTGATTGCAGTCCGTTCTCTTTGATTGAGGATGTGAAAACGCAATTTCCAATTCATCCATGGCTTCCAAGATGACTCTCTCTCCTTCGTTTTGAATGTATTCGAATGATGCTTCTTTAGTTATCAGATCAGAATGACGAATTATGGTTCGGAGGAAGAAACGGTAATCAGTAATTTCCTTGCCACCCCCACCCTGAAATATTATCAATTATAATGACTCAACTGCAATAATAAGTACATAAATCATTTCAAATGACAGTAAGTCCTTTTTTGAATGTCGTAATAGATTCACTTTGTTTTATCTCAAGCGGGAGGTTATTGTAGTCCAATAGTCCTTCATGGAATAAGGAGTTCATGGATTGTGTAAAGTTTAAACGTGGTACATATAAATTAGAATTCCCCCTAGTGAGGTAATTATGAATTTGGTGATGGAAAACAATAAATTGGTGAAAGTATCGGGGTGCATTACCGGACAATATTTTGAAGATGAACACCATGGTATAAAACAGACGGTCTTTTACAGAAAGCCAATCCAGAACTTCCAACATTGTTGTAGTTCGGGTTTATTAATTTTATTGATAGCTGTTTGTAATTCAGGTTCACTCACTGTAATCAGAGTATTATCTGCAAATAGGCTGATGAATTCACATCCATTAATGAAGTTGATGTCATTAATGTAAAGAACAAACAGAAGAGTGCCCAAGACACTATCTTGAGGTACACCATTATTGACACCTTTTACGTTTGAATATGTATCGTTGATTTTAGTCTGTTGAGTTCGACCAGAGAGGTAGAACTCAACATTGTAAGTGTGTATCAGAACAATTACACTCACAAATAATATTAATCCCTTAATGCTATAGTATGTACCATATTTTTGGTCCATGTTCAGCTAACACAAACAAATTGGACGGTTTGCCCACATGAGAGCATGCCGTATGAAAAACATGGTGTGCTGAAATCCAAGACACAAAATGACTTCGGTTTTGGGACTTATTATTAGTCATTACAAATGCCAATGTGATTGGAAATCGCACACCTTTAAAATGAACTGGCACATCTGTAGGTATAAGAGGGATTCTTGGTATTAATACAGGGCTTTTCATGATGAGCGTTAATTAGCCGTTTCTGACAAACTATTTAACGGATCAACCTGAAAATTTCACAGTATGCATAAATCAATATGACCTACAAGCCTAAAATATTTCAGACGAAGCGGCGTTGTCGCTTCTACTATAAAGTAGCGGCTTCTTTAATTTTTCAACTGGAAAACCCCGTATATAATATCATATTATGATTCATTATCACTTTGTCAACAAATTCATATACTATTTCCCTATACCTATCTATTACCGTTTAGAAGATATAAATTAATTTCGATATTTTTTTACCAAACATGAACTTTTATAAATGCTGATAATCTTGAACTCTCTTGCACTAAAACGATCAAATTTGAAATGGAGTGGAGTGATACTATGAGGATCTTCACTCCGAATCACATTTTCATTTGCCTCATACAGGGCCTTCAAAAAAGGCAGATACTTTGATCTCATGAAAAAATGATTGGAACTCAATTTTTTCAAATGGCACACCCTGTATATTTCAACATGTTTGAGCTCTACATCCAATTTTAGATTAACTTTGTTCTTGTGATATACTGTTTGGAACCTTGAATAGTTTGCCAGAAACAGCTAATTAACGCTCATCATGAAAAGCCCTGTATAACAATATGCGAATGATATAAAATAAAATGAATGACAAAAATAATACAATGACTATAAAATCGACAAAATCGAGTATCGGACTGTCTTTAAATATTTGTTTTCGAAAGGCAATACGCTTTCGCAAATCAAAGATGAGTTGGGTTTTATGTATGAGGACTGTGCACCATCATTTCCCACAGCGAAATAAAGATAAATCTTCCTCTTGAAGATGATCACTTGGTGATCGAAACACGAGGTGTAAAAATAACAATTTGGTGTTGGAAAAAAACTCCAGTAATATTCATTACTACACCAAAGGTTCCAAACAGTATATCACAAGAACAAAGTTAATCTAAAATTGGATGTAGAGCTCAAAAATGTTGAAATATACAGGGTGTTCCATTTGAAAAAATTGAGTTCCACTCATTTTTTCATGAGATCAAAGTATCTGCATTTTTTGAAGACCCTGTATAAGGCAAATGAAAATATGACTCGGAGTGAAGATCCTCATAGTATCACTCCACTCAATTTCAAATTTGATCGTTTTAGTGCAAGAGAGTTCAAGATTATCAGCATTTATAAAAGTTCATGTTTGGTAAAAAAATATCGAAATTAATTTATATCTTCTAAACGGTAATAGATAGGTATAGGAAAATAGTATATGAATTTGTTGACAAAGTAATAATGAATCATAATATGATATTATATACGGGGTGTTCCATTTGAAAAATCAAAGAAGTCGCTACTTTATAGTAGAAGCAACAACGCCGCTTCGTCTAAAATATTTTAGGCGTGTAGGTCATATTGACTTATGCATACTGTGGAATTTTCAGGTTGATCCGTTGAATAGTTTGCCAGAAACGGCTAATTAACGCTCATCATGAAAAGCCCTGTATATTTTCACTTTTTTTTTCCTGGTTGATTCGGCCGTTACTTGATGAAGATCCATAGTAATTTCTAGTGTCCGACCGAAAGTTCGGTTTCGGTCGAGTTTCGGCAAAAAAAACGGGTTTTAGTTTAGTTTCAGTTTCGGCGGAAAACCTGCCGAAACTACGACCGAAACCGAAACTGCATACAAGCGACGAAGACGTTTTGCCGCGTTCTACGTGCCTAATCAAGTCGTGACTCGTGACTTACTTTGTGATTTACCTTGTTCATTACATAAATATTAAGTACCTATTGTGATATTAGGAAACAACAGTTACGGTCGGACACTAGTAATTTCATAAACTACACCTCACGATTTGATCTCCACAAAGTTTGTGGAGATCAAATCTTGAAGTTTAGTTTTTGAAAATATATTTTCACTTCGGAACTTGCCATTTAAAATGATGGCTTTGACAACGTTTTTCATTAATCTTTTAATGACTAATCGCGAGCGGTTGCACAGCCGTGAAGGAATCATATTACGGAGCGATCCAACGTTCAGTTGTAAATTATGCGGTGGCTCGCCAAAAACTCTGTTGGATAATTCACAGCTTCGGTGGCCTCGCAAACTGAATCTACGCTCGATGTATTAACAATAATAGTGACTGAAAACTGTGTAGGGAGTGAGAGAAGGCTTATTGTGTGAGAGAGATAGAAGACCGGCTTCGTTCTCATCCCACTTCGTGCTGTTTACTGAGAAGCGACACCGTTAGAAGTCTAGCGGGAATAACTGATCTATGATCAGGCCTAAAAATGATTGAATTACTAAAATGGCTTTCAAAAAGTAGGGGTTGGTGATAGAAGGGTGAAAATTGAGAGTTATAGTATTTTTTAATGCCACATAAAAAAATGTGCCCAATAAATTGAAAAGTTTTTGGGGTGGAGCACCCTTATCACTTAGGGATATGAAAAATAGATTAAAACCTATTCTCAGACTTAATGTTCACATGATTGGTACACAATTTATTACTACCAAGTAATATTACATATGTATAGTAGGATGCAAAGCATTGAAAAAAAAAGAAAATACAAAAATGTCACTTTATTTAAAAATATATTCTTTTAGTTGTGTTTTGAATTTCGTGTAATTCAGGTATTTTGAAAGTTCAAGCTGTAGAAAGTAAATCTACAAAATAATAAGTGTCAATAAATTTTATATTCTTGAACTCCTCCGAAAATCATCTCAAATGTATAACAAAAAAGTCAAGAGAGAAATATTATTATTGTAAACTGTGAATTGTTTAGACTTCTCAGAGAGGAAATTGATTAAATTAACGAATTATTATTATAAAGTTAAAAAACAAATATTACTTAAGTTTTTTCCCAACACCTAACCATTATTTTACCACCTCAACACGTGTTTCGATCACCAAGTGATCATCTTCAAGAGTAGTTCAATCATCCAAACAGTGCATCACAAGTATATTAAGTTAAATTGGGTTATAAAAGAGCAACCTTGTTTCAACTGCAGAATATTTTTATACGCCTCCAAAAAAATCAAAACCTTACCTTAGCTTTTCCCAAATACAAGTGCATCTTTTGATTCGACGTAGGCAAAGCCTCTAGGCTATAGGATTTCATTCTATTGATCTCCAACTGGAAAGCGCAAGCTGGTTCCAAATGCCTATAGATCCTGTCTTCCAAAAAGTTTGATCTGGCTCGATACGTAAAGAACTTTGGAGATTGTTTGTGTTTGAGCGGAATGAAGGTAATGCGACGGATTTTTCTCGCCATCAACTCCTCTTTGTTTTTGGCACAGAAGTTTGCGAAAATTTTGCTCATTGCCGAATCGTCTTTAGCACCATCGTCTTTCACTGCCACCATGAGAATATGAATGGGTTCTTGTACCAAATGCTCTTCAAGACTTGCTCTGAAATGATGTTTTTCTTATTTGAGAAATTCAGTCAAAAGGTATTTATTATGTGACTGCAACAAAACAGGAAACAAATCCTTAAAGAAATAACTAGTTAGCACCCGGGAAACAATACAGAAAAAGTTTGACTGAAATAATGGTTTTATTTATATACTGTTAATAGTGTTAATAAAAATTTATCGGAAACGGAATTAATCGTGTTTTATTTACGTGAATATAAATAATAGTTAATACAGTTACCTTCTGGCTTCTAGAGACAAACTAACATTTATCGATGTGCTGTTGCCTCTAGACTCTGATCCACTCTCTACCGCATTCAAATCTTTAGCAGATATAGAAGCGGGACTTGCAAAATCTTCAATTAAATCTAAAATTTCATCTGCACACTCTTCGAACTGCTGAAAATTCTCAAATGCAGCCATGCAACCTGTTCTATGGAAAGTATCAACAATTTTTACTTCCGGTAAGCTAGAATCTGCAAAAAACATTGATATATATTCAGTTTTACCATCATAATCCTGAAGATTTCATTGAGCAGATTCATATCATCAAACCGAACGGAGTTCGTTCATTTCATGAATCATAGATGACTATTGCAGTCCTCAAGAACACTGACAAAAAATTATTCTCGATATATAGCAAAAAGAAGCTAGTTTTTTGTTAATTTGAATGATATGTTCATGCCAAACAAAAGTTTCATAAAGATACAGTCCAAAAAACTTGATCATCAAAATGAATTTTCAAACTTTCTGTTCAAAAAATAAAGTGAATGTTCAAATCTCGCCGGCTACGTATATTCGATTAGCGATTTATTTATGTTGGTTTGCGTGTTCAACGATTTTCTGCTAACGAAAAAATGGATTAAAGAATTTGCATAAAATTTTGTGTAAAAAATGGAATCAAGTACTCAAAATGGTTGGCAGTGGTATTGTACTCAGAAAAATGTTTAAAAGTGGTACAAGGTTTTCACAGAAGGTCGACAAGATGTGAAAGACGACGCTCTCCATGGACGCCCCAGTACATCAACAACCGATGAAAATGTTGAGAAAGTGAAGAAAATTGCTAGGGAGAATCGTTGAATTACCATTAGAGAAGCTGCTGATGTCAGCATATCGGTTGGCTCATAACATGCAATTTTTCCGAAAATTTTGGGCGAGAAGCGTGTGTCAGCGAAGCTTGTTCCAAAATTGCTGAATTTTGACCAAAAAAACCGTTGCATGAGCATTGCTGGGGAATTGTTGAATAAAAATTTAAGAGACCCACGAAAGGATGACGTTTTGCAACGATTGAGGAGATAAAAACCTAATCGCTGAGAAAGGTCAAAAAATAACCAAAAAGTGCATATCAAACTGCTTCGAAAATTGAAAAAAAATGGTGGCATAATAATAATAATAATATAATATATTACAGGGTATGCTTTACATTGTTCTGCAACATAAAAACATAAAATGCAACAACGTCAGACAGATTGTACAAACATTAAAAAGAAAAACCATCAGTATTCAGTAGGAATAAAAACATCTTAATATAAAATGAAGTTAACAGTAATCCAGATATTCCTGAATTGAATATGGTTCCAAGTCTATAAGGAAATCTTTCACATATTTTTAAAATTTCTTAAGGCTCTCACAGGATTTGATATTTTGTGATAATTTATTGAAAAACTTGATTGATGCTTATCACAGATGCTTTTCTGTTACTGTTGGTCTCTGAGTAGGGAATAGTGTTTGGAATCACACGTTAAAAGGTAAGAATTCGTTAATCCTTAGCTCGTACAGATTTTTTTTTAACAGAGATATATTTGCATTCCGCAAAGGGTAAGTATAATTTGATCCTGCTTCCAAGAACTTATCTTTATGTTCGAATAAATACATTACACATTCATAAATGCATGTATTGTTATTATATAAATATCTTTGAATTTGCCCCAACAAGGTTGGCGGTACTTCAATTTGAATATAGTTCTTATCACCCTTTTTTGAATTCCAAATATATTCCAGATGCCACTACAAGATCCAAAGAATAATATACCAAATTTTGCGGAAGACTCAAAGTTTGCTGCATATATGATTTTTAATAATTTTTTTGTTAAGATAATTACTAATAACCTTTACACTGCAGCAGATTTGATTCAATTTTTTTCCTAAATTTATAATGTGTGTATGTCAGTGAAGATGCTCATTGATGTGTATACCTATAAGTGTATTATATCCTACTTTGAAGGAGACTTAATGGTAATTGATGAATAAATATTTTTTGAGAAAAATGAAAATTCATCAAATTTTTTTAACAGACTTGTCGACTTGTTTGCTAGATTCTTTTCTACAGTTTACGTGGAATCTGAACCAGATCCTACGCAATTCTTGTATGAAAAAACTTTAGGTTTATCATTTTGTACTTTATGTACTTTATGTAACTTGAAATCAAAATTTTCGAGTGGACCTGATGGTGATCCTTCATTTTTCCTTAAACAGTGTGTATATACTTTGTCAACTCCTCTTTTCATTTTATTCAATAAATCACTGACCAGTGGCACGTTCCCTGATCTTTGGAAACGGAGCTTCATCTGCCCTATTCATAAAAGTGGATCGAAAGAAAAAGTTGAAAACTATAGGAGAATATGTATTCAATCAGCTATTCCAAAAGTTTTAGATCAGCTTGTTGCCAAAATATTAATGAATGTCTGTAGACCCTTGATCTTACAAGAGCAACATGGATTTACATCCGGACGTTCCACAGCATCAAACTTATTGTATTATCATCACTATATAACACAAGCACTTGAGAGGTCTGTGCAGGTAGATGCTATCTACACTGATTTCTCAAAAGCTTTTGATAGGGTCAGTCATAACTTATTGATAAGAAAATTATCTGCCATTGGTTTCTCCGGTAACATTCTAGATTGGATAAGCAGTTATCTAATTGGACGCTCTCAATCAGTTAGAGTGAATAGTACAGTTTCAGAGCCTCTTTTTGTGAAATCAGGTGTACCACAGGGATCACATTGTGGCCCTTTGTTGTTCTGCCTTTTTATCAATGACATTAGCTCAAATATCACTAATTCAAAAATCTTGGTATTTGCCCATGACCTGAAAATTTTCAAGGTTGTAGAAAGTGTCCATGATGCTAATCTTCTTCAAAGTGATATAAACTCTATTTCTGATTGGTGTGAAGCAAACTGTCTTTATCTAAACACAAAGAAATGCTACTCATTGATGTTCAGTAAGTCTCGATCACCAATCAAATTTAAATACCTTTTGAATGATGAAATGTTGGAATGTAAAGAAGAGTGTAAGAATTTGGGTATATTGTTAGATGCCAAGCTTTGTTTCAACAACCATGTGAATTCTGTTTCTATGAGAGCTCTAAAAATATTCGGCTTTATTGTGAGATCATCAACCAATTTTTCTCCACTCACAACCAAAGTATTATATTGCTCTTTAGTACGCCCTATCCTAGAGTATAACACCATCATCTGGAGTCCCTACTACCATAAGTATACACAACAATTAAAAAATGTGCAAAATAAATTTCTAAGGATCATGGCATACAAACTAGGGTTGGTTATAGGTGAATACAGTTACAGTGAAGTGATGAGTATATTATCTCTGTCGTGTCTTGAGGATAGAAGAACAACTGCGACATTGGTTTATCTATTCAAAATTATATCTGGTCTCATTGATTGTCCGGAAATTCTATCTCTTATCAACTTCAACGTTCCACAGAGGTACACTAGACAAAAAAAGCTATTTTTTACACCATATCACTCAACCAAATATGGTTATCATTCTCCTTTATCTGAAATGTTGAGACTGGGAAATAACTACTGTGATAAAGTCAATTTTTTCTGTGATAATCAAAATACTTTTAAAAAACAAGTCTCTCGCTCATTAGTCATATAAATGTATTTTATTAGTTGATACTGTCATTGTTTTTGTCTTTTGTTACACACATAAAGGTATTTATAATGATTAGTATAGTATAGTATAAGCTTTTATTGTTACACAATTTATTGTAAACAAATATTGGAGTTCACCCGTAAATAAATAAATAAATAAATATTTTAATTCCTCCACTTTTTGATTTCCTTAACGTTTGTTTATCATCAACTTCAGTACAAATTTCATTAATTTCAATGAGAATGTTTATACCATCAGCAAACGTATTCGGTTTTTTCTCTTGGTGTCTACAGCATCGACTAGTGAGGTCATTGCCTTGTGTTCTAGGTAGATTATACTAATAAATAACAAAGCCACCTAGTGCCTGTTAGCCACTCACGACTGTTCAGTATAGTAATGTCATGTAATGTAGCAGAATCAATTCACCTTCAACTGGGTAAATTTTCGGGATATAAATAACAATATCTTAAGGCGGATTTCCACCAAACGAACTCGCTTGCGACTAGTTTCGTTTTCAAAAACAGAAAAAAAAGCTTGTTTTAGTTTCGAAAACAAACTCGAAACTTGAGTTTCACCACAAATAGAGAAAAATTAGTCTGAGTCACGTGTTTTGTTTCCACTACACGAACAGCTTTCATCATGTCTCCTCTAGACGATATTTTTGTAATGGCCCGCGTTTTTTTTGTGACTGAATCTTTTAAGCGAAAAGAGCTAAAGCCAAAAAAAACAAGAAACTAGATCATTGTTAAGAAAACAAATAGATTATGGAACGGATAAAGTTATGGGAGATTTAATAAATGATGATATGCAAAACAACGAAACCTTTTGATCTTTCCGCCGACGTGACATTTCATTGTTTAAAAAAAACAGTTGTCCCTGACACAAAGTCTTCAAAATGTTTCTGATTTGTTGTGGTTTGTTCAGTTTGGTGGAAATCCGCCTTTAGTTATTGATTTCAAAAATATATTCAGATCAATTGCACTAACAATAAAAAGAAAGAATACAAATACTGAATCACTAGGAGCATATATGAATATACAGTTTTTCCATTAATATGTTACGTTTGATGCAATCAAAGCCTTTGTGACCCCTAGTTTATAATAATGCAAGGTAAGGTAAGGTAAGTTAATGTAGAAAGGTGAGGTAAGGTATCCATTTTTTGACGTTCACGAAAAAATAAAGTATGAAGAATTGCCATAGTGATTATAGGTTTTGGTAGTTTTTGGGTTGGCAGGAATGCATGAAAAAATATTGACATTCCATTTCCATAACCTTGACAGCAGCAATCATTTATATGAAATAAATAATAACTTTCATTTCTATTATATTATGGAAGACGCATATTTTATATCATTAATAGAACAACACCCAATAATTTATGATAAAAAAGATAGGAATTTTAAAAACAAATTAATGAAGGCATCACAGGTGATTGCCAAAATAGTAGGGCTAACAAAAGAGCAATGTCAAAGGCGATATAAAGTTTTAAGAGACAGATATACCAAAGAAAAAAAAGAAGTGGCTCAGTGTGGAAAGTCTAGTATCGAAGCAACTGATATGAGAGAATTATTCAGCACCGAGACAATGCGGTATACTCCATTTTTCTCGATATCTCTATTCAATGTTCAGCCACTCGGCTTCAGTCGTTGGTGGTTTAAGATATATTGGGGCTAAAATTATCCACAGAACACCGCAAATTTCCGTAATAATTTTAAGGATTGTGGTCTTTCCCAAATGGTATGCCCACGCTACCGACTGTTGCGAAGTTTTTTGCGATAAATAGCTGAATTTTTTTGTTAGATACATATTTTCAATTTCAAAAATCAACTTTACTGGAGTGTTATAGCCAAGTTCTCTTCTGGAAATATCGATCCATATCTTTTTTCAACAATGAAGGCGCTGACAATTTCACTAAATGTTCAAAACATATTTTGTTCATTCTTCTGTACACAAAAATTGATCCTCCATCATTTTTCATTCCTTTAAATAACTAAAATTGCCCCTGAGTTTTTCTGCTTCTCAGAATGGGTCTAACATTAAACCTCCTCCTTTTTCGTTTCTTTCTCTTGAGTGAAAGATACACACTTACTATTGACCCGATCGCGGAAATTTTTGTATTTATATCCCTCAAAAGAAAAATCAAATTTCACAATGTGACGTTTAAGTTTGTCTGGTGACATTACCTTTACACCATTCGGATATATCTGTCAAAATTCGTAGTATGGCGCTTTCTGATTGGTCGGAGGTAAGAACGCAACGCAGAAAGTTGAAAATAGCCAACTTGTTACCTTGCGTTACCTTGCCTTACCGACGTTACCTTACCTTACTTTTTATCTAGAACGAAAGTGTGTTTTCTCACTGATTCAACTTTCTTACTTTACCTTACCTCGTTATCTTGCGTTTTTATAAACTAGGGGTGAGAACAACATACTGCCAATTGCATCAACAACTCTTTGATATCAAATGTGTATGAAAACTATATAAACATGTTGAAATATAAATTGTCGAATGGAAAATACTATGTTCATCAAATATTTGCGATCAATATGATTTCGTATTCTATAAAGGATACCGATAATCGGTGATTTTTTTATAAAGTTCCTAGAACTTTTGTATAGTTTTTGTATATGATCTCATTACTTTCAAATTTGTTTGGAGGAAATCAATTACATTCTCTTTTTGAATTATAAATTTGTATTTGAAAAATTCAATATTAATTTATGAACATGCAACCAGAAAAAATTTTTGTTCAAATCATGAAATACTTCATCTCTAATAGAATAAAAGTCAGATCAATAATAAATAATAGTAGTATCGCCTGCAAATAGCTTAATTGAACCTTTTTCAACTTCAACAATGAAATAGAATTAATATTAATAAAAAAATAATGAAGTTCCCAATACTGATCCCCGTGGAATCCCATGTGTTAAATTTCTACACAGACACATATTCACAAAATGCTTACGGTTTTCCAAAGAACTTTCAAACCAACAGTGAATTTCACTCCTAATTTTGATAGCACCTAATTTTTTTAGAACAATTGAATGGTCAACAGTGTTAAAAGCTTTACGTAAATTTAGTTTGGTATTTTTTTATCAAGATTTTCATAAGCCCCTCTTCTCTTTTCATTATTTATGAATGACATAGGTGGAAATATAACGAGCAGCATTATTTTATTTGTTGACGACTTGAAATTATATGAAGTCATTGAATCTCAAAAGGACTGTAAATTACTCCAAAAGGATATTAACTGTTTAGCTTCTTGGTGTGAAACAAATAAATTACCCTTAAATATACAGAAATGTCATTACACTACTTATACTTTAAAAATCAAATCAGAGGAATACACTTAGGTTAGGTTAGGTCCAAAATGTGTGGGTCTATTGGATTCTCCACCACAACCCGCAAGGGTTTATTGTGGCTCAGTACTCAATAAATCAAATTATAATTAAAACCGCATCGGCAGCGAAAAAAATGCTTGGCTTGATTTTCAGAAACTGTAAAGACTTCAAAAATGAAGATAGCATCATTGCTATCTTCACATCATATGTGAGAACACCCTTAGAATATGGCTCACTGATTTGGTCTCCTATTTATTTGAATCACATTCATTTGCTTGAATCATTTCATCGAATATACTTAAAGTATATTGCATACAGAATTGATAGAATTTATCCCGTACAAGGTCAAGATTATAACTTATTACTACACAGATTTTCTTTGTTATCTCTGGAGGACCGTAGAACCTACCACTCTTGCATTTTTATATATAAATTCAACTCAACTCTCAACTGAACTTCAACATACCCTGTTTGAAGAGTAGAAGCTCACTCTGTTTTTATTTACCTACTCCAAGAACGAATATACTATTGAAATCTCCAATTCTTTTGATGTGTAAAAAACTCAATCAGATATACGAGAAACTGATCTATTTTCAACACCCATTAGTGTTAAAAAAAACCATATTCATTCCTCTTTGTGATGTCTATATGAAAATTTAATCCTCTCTATTCATACAGGTTATTCATGTATACATGATATTATGTTTTCTTTCCATTGATTGTTTTTTTTGTTATTATGCTATAACACTTTCTACCAATTTTTGAATGATTTAATTTAGTTCTTGTTCACAGTTACATGTACAGCTGTCCTATCAGTGGGTCTTGCACCTGTTAGGGCAATAAATGTTTTTTTTTTAATAATTATCAAAATCCAATCAAAATTGAGATACATTGAAATATTTTGTTTCTGAAGGCATTATGATATTCAGGATGTTTATCTATCCAATAATGTTCATCAGTATAAAAGAAGATATCATTAAAATAATTAAGATATAAACATTAGGATTTTCAGAGTGATGGTAGTTCATTTTCGTTCTGATAAAGGTTTCAAATTTCATGAAAAATCGTAAATATATTACCTCCAGTAGTCTCGGATAAATTATTGATCTTCACCAGTCGGTTGGGATGCGAAGGCGGCAACATGAAAATGAAGTGCACCACCGGAACTTCTCCGCTCAATTCCAGATGTTGCAAACAGCTGATGTCGAAACTTGTGAAAGACCTCCTGACGTAGACCTCCAGAGCCGCATTGCATACTGCCCTGTTGGTGTGGTAGAAGAAATCGTGTAGGATATCGAAAATCGACGTCTCAGATACTATTAGTTTCTGCAAGTTTTCCGGGTGGAACTCCTGACCGTACATATCCACAGCAGAAAGGAAAATGCTCTCCATTTGGTTGTGGCGTAGTTCATAAGCAGGTTGGTGTGCTGCGATTAGAACCTGTCTAGCGCGCAATGCCACACGAGAATGTTCGCTACGATTCAAAGAAGTCAACTCGGTTAGGCAACTAGACAGTTCGTCCGTTAAACCAGGTTCATTACTCCAGAGATGGTCAATGAGCATTGTTACTAGGAGGTTTTTCTTAGCAACTTGACTGTGGGAGAATATTGTCGCTGTAACTGCTGCCATATCATCTTTATGCTTTTCACGCAGTAGAGAAACACATTTGTCATACGAACCTGAACATAAATTGTAAATGATAAACTTCAGAATCAGTGAAAAATTATCATGTTGTTACAAAAGTTTGTCCGTTTTAATGTCATGTGTTTTTGTAGGTCCATATCTCAATAGAGAATTTTGTACTTTATACATTGATCCGAGTTTTAAATTTTTACCTTTTTTCAGATTATTACTATATAATATCAAACGATTTTGGCAATTTTTTCTCTACAAATACAAATTGAACCAAAGCGCTGCCGAAATAGCCTGACAAATTACCCAGACAATTATAATAATCTTTATTTGAAATAGGAACATCCTAATTTATATACATTCAAAATATTTGTAATTAGTAACAAAAAATACTTAATGCTAAATAAAGAATGCTAAAATATAAAAATACACCTATTTTGTTTCTCATTATACAACACAACTCACTCACACACATGCCTTCCATAATTCATCTTGTTACATGTACAGTGGTGAAATGAATTAATTTAGACGAATTTTGAAATTTTCTAAAGACAGTAAATTTTTCACTTCATTTGAGAAGTTATTGAAATCGTTTAAGCCCTTGAAGAATAATGTTTTCATTGAGCTAACATTTCGAGTTCGAGCTATATGAAATGAAAAAATCAAATGTTTGCAATCGACTTCCACAGGTGTAATTATGGTAAAAATTCTCCACTTTCTAGAATAGTGTCTAATGGCAATAAGGTTGATTTTGACTTATTTTATATTCCTGAAAGTTCTCTTAGAAATAGATTGAAAAATATTCAACTGTAAATCACAGAAATAAGTGCTCAAATATTCAAATATTTCTATTTTTAGGTTATTAGTATAATTAAAGTTAGATTAGTATTAGTGTTTACTTCCTAAAATGTATTGAATTCGTTTATACAAATTGGGGTTACCCCTAGATAAATAAATAAATAAATAAATAGTTCACGTTTCTCGTAGGATAAGTGTGGATCTCATTATTATATGTAATTAATGAACTAAGATAACTTGGGACTAACTTTTTTGTTATTTTATAAATGAACACCATTGTGATAAAAAACAGGCGTTTATTTACGTTATACCAGTTCAAAAGTTCTTAACATCAGATCAATTGGAACATATTTATTGCATTGTAGAATGATTCTCATACCCCTACTTTGGAATTTTTGTAAAGTCATTGAACAGTTTTTCAGCAACAGATACAGTAAGCTAGCACAATAGTCAAAGTGGGGTTGTATTATCGTCCTATAAATGGTCATTTTGGAAAAGAAAGACATAAAGAGAGAGACAAGAATAGCTTTTTTGATATTTTTTTTGCAGATGTAATCGTTGTGACTTTTGAAACTTAGTCTATCATCTACCATAAAACCTAAATACCTACGTTTTTTAATTTGTATTTTGTACTCAGGATCACTGCCTTTGTTTTCTTTGAATTTAACTTCACCTTATTAGTTTTCAAAAATGATTCGATTGAGTTTAAATAAAACATGGTTTAGTCTTGTTACTGTTGCACCTAGGTGAATACCATTACATTCTACTAAAGTATCGTCGGCAAAAAGGTTAAGGAAATCATAGCCTTTTACAAAATTGATATCATTCAGGTATATAATGAGTAGGAGAGGCCCCAAAACACTGTCCTGGGGCACCCCCATATCATTAGCCAGTTCACTAGAAAACGCTTTTTCTATTTTACATTTCTGTGACCTTCAATACGGTAATATTTAAGTTTTGTTATTAGCATTTTTATGTTGATGGTTTCATAGGCTCTTTTGAAATTTACAGAAACCGCAATTATATAGTAACCTTTGTCTATTGCTTGCTTCCAGTTTGATATCGTTTATTTTAAGGCAGTTTTGCACGATTGCTGTTGTCTAAAACCTGACTCATTACTAATTAGAAGTTGATTTATTTCGAAGTATTTGGCAGTCATGGTATTAATGAACGCACTGTTCGACGTTGGTTAGCGAAATTCCTTTCCGGGGATTTTACCCTCGAAGATGAGCCGCGAAGTGGTCGACCTACAGTAATCCAGGACGAGGATTTGAGGACCCTGGTGTAGACTGATCCATCACAAAGGGTGCTTGGGATGGCGAAAGAACTGGGCGTCAACTCTCATGGGGCTTTCGATGATTTAAAATGTACTGGAAACGTTAACAAGCTCGAAAAGTGAGAGCCCTACGATTCAAACAATTGACAGAAATTGTCACGTTTCAAAGTCTGTTCTTCTTTGCTTTTGAGCAACAAAAAAGGTCCTTTTTTGGATCGATCCTCATGTGTGATGAAAAGTGGATCCTCTACGACAACAGGGGATGTTCAGTACAATGGTTGGACACCGATGAGCCACACACCACCATACCCACCATATGGGTATGGTGGTCAGTGGTTGGTGTGATTCACTATACCTTTCTGAAACCTGGCCAATCAATCAATAATTCCCATAATACACAACATACATTGTATAGGGATAGTCACAGATACTACACAACTATAAAACTTACAAACTAATAACTATACTGTAACTGAATAAGTGTAAAACATTTAAGGATGTGATTCCTCATCGAAAAAAAGATAAGATCTTTCATATAAAGAAACTTCATTGGAGCATCCCTTGTTAAGATACACCCCCTTAAAGGGGGTACATAAAATTTGTATAACAATTTTTTTCACAAGCACTGAAAAAGTTACAATTTTGGAATTAACCTGACGTTTTGTACTACCAAAAAGACACTTAGCCAGTAATTTATTTGGTTTGCCCCATGGTTGTAAGGGGTGGAAAACGCAACCCCTAAAATTTATTTCCAATGCAACTTTTTGTCTTATTATTTGTTTACCATTTAAAAATGAATTTCCGATAGCCTGTTTCGTTCTAAACGAAAAATGTCTCTTGGGTTTTTCACCCAAAATAAACCCGCAAAAAATTATTTTACGGACAACTACAGAGATACATCGTCATAAATGCGAACTGGATTTATTGTTATTTTGTAGTTAGTACCTGCATTAAAGGGTAATAAACGAAACTAATTTATTAATAACAAAACACACAACATGTAGAAATCATAGTAAATGTTCAATATGTCTACCTTCAGACATTACGCATGCGTCTGGACGTCGGCACATTGAGCCACGTATTCACTCAAATATTCCTGGAGTCTCTCTGATTACCCTGCATGCATCGATGATGCGGTTTCTTAAGTCCTCTACATTGCGAACAGGAGTATGATAAACCAAATGCTGTAAATGGTGCTACTTGACTAAAATGGGCGGGAGCCCCATCATGCATAAATAACTCCGAGCCACACGTTAAGAGAAAACTCTTCTTGATGGTTAGTTTCGACAATAGCGTGAGGGTTTTCATCAGCCCATATGTGGTAATTAAGAAAATTAATAATCTTGTCCCGAGAAAAACTACATTCGTCTGTGAATTCTATCGTTTTCAGAAAGTCACAATTTCTTCTAATCATTTCCAGCATCCAATTGCAAAATTCAAGACGGTTCGGAAAGTCTCGCGGTAACAGTGCCTGTACTCGTTGCAGATGGTAAGGGTATAAGAGTTGTTCCTTTAAAATTCGAAATACATATGATCGACATTTAGCTGGAAAGCAATCTTTCTAGTACTGGAAGTAGGTTGTTCTTCAATCAAATTTAAGTTCTGCTTTCTCAAGCTGTAGTGTTCGTACTTCTTGATGGCGACCACAATCCTGCATTCTTTTGTCGAATGAACCATATTCTCATAATCGTTGATGAAGTCGAGCAAATATTCAACCGGCAGCAACCGGCACTGGTTAACATATGAGGTCCGATCCTGCTCCACGACAACGCCCGTGTCGTGGATTCGAAAATTAAAAGAATTGAGAGTCGATGTTCTGCCTCACCCACCATACTCCACAGACTTCTCGCCAACGGACTATCATCTTTATCAAGCACTTCGATAACTTTCTTACCGGTAGAACCAACGCCGATCGGGACCAGGTAAAAACGGCCTTCGACGATGTCATCAAATCCCAACACACAATTTTTAATCTGACGGAATCAATCGACTTGTGTAACGTTGGCAAAAGTGCACTGATTCAAATGAAGCTTATTTCGATTAAATTGAATAAGTTTTGACATAGAAACGGACAAATTTTTTTAACCAACCCAATAAGTCCAATTCTTACCTTGCTGGAATTCCTTTTCTACTTCAAAATATTGTCGCAACATTTCTTGGACAGCTTGCTTCATTCGGCCACGAATTCCATTTCTATACCTAAACAAAAAAAATTAATTTGTATAAACAAATGTGATGATATATTACTTAAAAAATGGATATTAAAACATATTTTTCAATTACCTCTGAACTAATTGAATAATTCCTTCGGTAGCCAAGAAAAATGCATCTCTTTCTGTCCTCTTGTGCATATTTGCTGCATGAGTATCGATTACACTTGCTATCTACAAAAGTTACTATTGTTATTTTTCGTTCGTTGTTATCAATTCAACTTTTTAGTTGAATATTCTTTGAAAGCGTGTTTTTTAGTTTTTTTAAAACTATATTTATTTTTCTTCTGACAATATCGTTTCTATCTAGTTTCTATTTAACTATATTGAGCACAAAATCTACTTTGCAATGCAGTTGTTGAAATTGTTAATTTAACTGTATTACTTGGGAACTGGAAACATATTCCTTTCTCATTTCGTATAAGGTTATCAAACGTCTAGTTTAAATTTATCAAAATTCATATGCAAATAATGAAATCCCAGCCAGAAAAATATTAGCCTTGAGTCTTCTAAAATTGATGTTTCAATGATTCTGGTTTTTAAGAAATAAGAATTCAAGTTATATCATCAGCAAAAATATTAATTGAACTGTACTAACAAACCTGTTGACTTGGGAACTGAGCAAGAACAGATGTAATGTTCCTTTCGTATAAGGCCATCAAACGTCTAATTTTCTTTTCGACGCCGATTGGAATACGACCGGAAATGGAAGCCATAACTTCCTGTAGTTCCAATAGAGGAAGACTAGGATCTCTCAAAGAAGACATGAATTTTTCAATAATTTCTCTCAAACGAGGAGCATTGTAGGGATCCGGAAGACAATAACCTTCAAAGAAATTATAACATATCAATTTACTGTTTATGAATAATAATGTAATTGAATATTACACTAACTAAGATAAAAATAACGACAGCGACTACAATTTTTCTTCAAAGCTGAAGTAATTTCTCACCATTCAAAGTGTTTTCCAAAGCAGTTTTGTAGCTAATATGGATATGGTTGAGTTTATCTTGGGCTTGTGGCAGTGAAACATCCAATTCTGGAAAATAACCTTTATACAAAATCGCTTTTGTAACACGTGAAGGATCATCCAATTCAAGAGAAGCAATAATTGATCCGGCATCGAGGACAGCTCCAGGACGTTTCACATAAGACACAGTACCGGTTTCATTGGCTGTGAGAGTCATGACCATCTTCATAACCTAGAAAAGAATATGAAATATATGAAACGAATTTTTAGTTATTGCAAATAATATACCCTAGAAACTATAAAAGAAGCAACAATAAAATAAAAGCATTGTCTACGAATGTAAAGCAAGCAAAGCATAGTTTCAGTCACTCATTTTCTTATTTTAGTGCATGACCCTATTTACAAATACGTATGTTCTAATTCAAAGTGTCTTGCAGCTCTATGTATTCTCTTTGGTGTTGGCGATATGTGTTTTTTCTCAGATGTTGTCTACATTTCGTCTTTCATATCATTTTATTGATCTCTTCTTCGAATAACCTGATACCTTGATATTTTCCAACAGTTCGTCTGTAGGAGCTCTAATTTTTCCGCAGTTTTAGCAATACCTAGTTTAGAGTTTCTTGATATTCTCTGGTATTCAGGTTGAACCAAATTCCAGAAAATGTATGGATTATTGAACGTTTTGTTATCGGTATCACATGCTGAAGTGTCATCCCGGGTGTCCATCTGTTCGTCTTTGACATTATCATGACGTTTCGACAATATCCCACTCGCCATATTCATGTGCCCTGCTTAGTAGCTGAACTTGAAACTGAAATCATCCTTGTCGATGCTTGTCTATTTATATGTTGCCGTAGGCTGTAGTTGTGGCATGAAACGTCCTGATTAGTCGACGGTATGCGGGAGGCGTTCCGGTTGATTGGAGGGGTAAATTAGGTGGTGTGATGTGTCACGCTCGACTGGAGGCATGTTGGTTATTGTTTCGGGATGTGTGTTTGTTATTTGTGGTGCACTGGTCTTGGTTTTTGATATGATGGTATGCGTCATTTCTATTGTTCAGACTGCCGATCTTCTCAATTTCGGTTGCCTCCTTTTTCATTCTCCTTTTCTGGTGCTGTATATGTATACTGGGGATCTGTTAGGACCTGAATCAAGGTAGTACCTGTATAGAGCAGAGAATGTTAATTTATTGCGAAGTAAGATTTTGTGTTTTTCTCATCTGATTAACATTCGCTTATTTGTTTGGCCGACGTATTCCTCGCCCCAATCTCTACACGTGATTTTATATATGCCTTCTCGTAGGTTGGGCTACCTATCGGGCGCGCCCCTAGGTGGCGGATAGGAGAATGGCCAGGGGAGTAGAGGCCCTGTCCGGGAAGTCAATGTAGCATTACGGACGGGGTCGCCGGACTCCTGGTCAGTGGCAGAAATGAGTAGGGTGAGGGGAACCAAAACTCCCCAAAAGCCTTTACAAAACATACCACCGTGGACCAGCCTACCCAAGCTAAGGTGTAAGGAATCGTGCCGACAGCTGAATGGCCGCAGAGTGACATGCGGTTACGAACGATCCCCTTGGGGAACGGGCGAAATCTCATTGTAATCAGCCTACCTCTGATAATGTGGAGCTCTGCCAGAGGTGACCAATTCTTCCCTTGCTACTCGTGGGAACACACATTAATGACACAACACAAAAACAGAAACAACAAAAACAAAAACCAATCCCGAGGCTGGACAGTAGTGCTCATCTCAATCTAAGGCGGTGGCTGGGGATGAACAGAAATGTCCACCCACATCTACCACTTGGAATGAGGCTGCACATAGCAGATCACCTCGTGATGTAATACAAAGGCCAAGGCGTAAGCGCATTAGCGGCGCCGAGGCCAAAAGGAGAAAGAGAGCGATAGAGGCAGGAATGGCAGCAACTATAAGTGCACCCTCCTCTTCCCTCACTCCACCTCCAACAGCAAGGGCACTTCCTGCGGCGGACGTCAACTCCGCCTTGAATAAAGGCAAGGAACCGGCTGCCCTGCAGGAAACCTCCACGGAGGGAACCCCAAGAAGGTTGAAGAAGCCGTGCAACGACAGTAATATCAAAGAGAGTATGTGTTCGGCGAGTCTTAGCCTACACCTGCCAATATAAAGGAGATGTCTCCTAGTGACCTGTCCACCTTTCTGGTAAGGACAGGAGGACAACTCCTTGGGAGGAAGTACAATGGGTCACATGTAGCCTATGGTGTTGTAGGTTTACACTCACCCTCCCTACTCTACAGATAACGATATATGCCTTGGTTTTCTAGGTTTATTTTGTCTTTTGTGTTGTTCAAAGCATTTTTGAAGGTACTAGTTGCTTTATGTATTGTTTTTATAGCCAGATTTAATGTAATATTTTGCCTATTTTTTTGATGAAGAATAATAAATTCACTTTTCTTTGGATCATCAGAAAGAAAATTGGAGTGAAGCCACTGTTCAAATATCTTTCAATACTCACTAATTGTGTTTTCCCAAATGATTGAGTTTTTATTTGCAAATAAAAGCACTGCATTGTATGCATATATTCATTCGAAACAATAGACAGAGATATATTAATCCAAAAGCTCAAATATTATGGTAGGTGATGTAGTTTTGAAGTTGATGAAAAGTTACCTCAGTACGCGGAGTCAAACAACAAAAATTAATAGGTGCTACTCACAAGAGTTAGTGAATGATTTTGGAGTTCCACAAGGTAGTGTATTAGGGCCTTTACTATTTCTGATTTATATAAACGATATCAATTACGTAGATGGTGATCATGTGATTAACTTTTTTGCAGATGATACATTAATATATACCTACAATAAAACCTTGCAAGTCGCTATTGAAAAGATGAATAATTCATTGAAAAATATTGAATTGTACCTTGGAATAAAGAAACTAAAACTTAATATCACTAAAACTAAGGCGATGATCATTACAACAAAGTATGAACAAGTTAAAATTGGGAGAAACACAGTCAAAATTAAAATTAACGAAACTGATGTAGAAATAGTGAGTAAAATTAAGTATCTAGGGTTCATTGTAGATAATACAATTTCATTGAATGATCATGCTGACTATATAATAAGCAAAGTATCAAAGAAACTGCATTTTGTTTCTAAAGTGGCATCTGTATTATCAATGTATGCCAAAATAACGTGCTATAATTGCATAATAAAACCTCATTACGATTTTTGCGGGACTCTCTTATATCTCTTGAATCAGAACAAATTAAATCAATTACAAAAATTACAAAATCGTGGAATGCGAATAATATTACTCTGCAATAGAATGACACCTATACATAATATGCTCTGTAGTTTAAGGTGGCTTAATGTCTCTCAACCATTGTACTATCAAACTATGATATTTATATTTAAAATAATAAATAAATTGCAACCAACATACTTAGTAAACCTTTTAATCACAAATAGTGAAGTACATTATCATGATACTGGATCGAACACCAATTTTCACATCCCAAGGACAAATTCACATAGCAGTATGAACTCGATACTTCTCAAAGGTCTGGACAGTTTCAAAAAACTACCAAATAACATAAAAAACTCTTCTTCTCTCCGTCTATTAAAGAGGGACTTGGTAACATTCATAACGAAAAACTGAATTAAAGCTAATTTATATTTAAAATATAATGATAACTAAGACTTTGTTTTGAATGAATATATAAGTAAATATGTAAACGTGTATCCTATAGACCATGGATGCACAGACCGCGGCCCGCATGCGGCCCGCTGGTCGAATACTGGTGGCCCGCCGACAGCAAAAATAATACTCTCGTACATTCGAAGAATATTTAATTCTATTCCAGAATAAAACCAAAAAAAAAAAATGTTCGAAAAGTAATTTGAATCTCGCGCGCGCGCTATTTGAATCCAGCGCCCAAAAATGCTAAGTCAAGTAACATCGCTTGCCGCCTTTATATAAAGTTCAAAATAGTAGAAGTAGAGGAATCAAGAATTTTCTAGCGCGGTGTGAGCAAGCGAGATAGCAATAGTCCCGAATTCCGGATTGCTCGCGTAGGTACGAGTAGATACACGAAGCTTCCAGAGTAGCAT